TACATTTGGGGGAGGTTGTATTAAAAAAAAAAAGCAGCATATACACACAGAGTTATTCTTTGTAAGAAACTAAGTTGTGCAAGTCGATTTTGAGCAACTGTTGACTTTTAATTAAAATGTGGTTTTGATTTTATCTCTGCAGCAGCCTGTAACCTGGAGAGTGTATACTCCTCAAACCTGCTTTTTCAGACCCAGGGACCAGAGGTGAAATCATTGTGATTAGCAGAGACATGTTCTTCTAAGAAGAGAAGCAGAGCAAGCAAGGTTATGCCTAGAGGAGTCATCATCTAGTGGTTTGTGTGCTGCCGGAAACAGGTCAGTGTTAAGGTGTGTTACAGAGAAAAAGAAGTAGTTAAAAATTATGTAGTTGGCCTAAGGAGCCTATTGATGAGAAAACCAGATGAATGCTCAAACCGTTGTGCAGTCTAGGAAGTGGGATAGCTGCCCCTTTTCTTCCCTTCTGGAAAAGCAAGGGGGATGGCAAATAGATCAAAACCTCTTTGTCAGAGGGAAATGTTAGGAGTATTTTCCTGTTTTGAGATGTGGCCCATTTAGCCACTTACATTCTCTCCACAAAAATGTAAGCACTGCACTCTTTTGGTAAACAGCATTCACAGCTCAAGCTGTTGAGATAGCGAGTATCATCTGGCTGATTTATTGGAAGCCTCCTCAGGCGCAGAAGGCAGGCAAGGCTGGTGCTCACATCTTGCACACTGTTTACCTCAATTCAGGCAAACCTCAGTTTGTATTTTCTGTTTCACTGCCTAGACTTTATTTATAAATGGCCAAGTTTAAATAGGTAACAGAATTGTTTATGGTCTGGTGATGACTGTAACAAGAAAGAAGTCTGCTTCAGCCTGATCATACCATAGTAAGAGGCATAAGTACACGTAGGACCTCGCCTCTGGTTTGAGTAAAGGGTCTAAAAATTACCAAATTTTTTTTTTCCAGTTTATTCCATGACTTCAGGAAGCAATTAATTTCTCTTCCTCCAGAGGCAGCAGGTGGGCAGACACCTTACCTACTCATCCCACCTGTACTGTGCTGGATCCTGCCACCAGCTGAGGACTGGCTCCAGGAACAAAACCACGTACTGGTGAGTGGTGTGGGGTTTGCCTCTCCAGCAGCCAGATGACGCACGGTCCCCGTAGCTCCACACATTTGCATTACCAGTAATACTGTTTCCTCAGCAAAAAGGTCTCTTAGTGGCTGTGTCACATGCCTGTCAGCCATGAGCAGAGCACAGAGCTTAAAACACTATGATCTGAAATGGTTAATTCTCCACATTTTGATTGCTTTGTCAGATAAAAAGGGGGGGCAGCAAACCAAAATTTTGCAGCCACTGGTCAGCCCAGCAAGGTCTTTTGTAATTCTGCTGGTCCAGAATTGCTTCTGGAGTAAAATGACATCACCATCTGTTGTCTTCTGCATAGCTTAAACATTAAAACCTTGCTTACCTGATTCAGTCCCAAGTCTGTGTCATTTAGTGACAGCAGAATGCAGGGGTCTGGGTAAGTGTTAGAAATATTAGGATGCATTTTTCCCCCATAACATTACATTAATACCTAAAGTGCTGGTTTTTTGGAAGCGTATTGTTTGACTTAACTCTGGCACTGTATAGCCTGGGTAGGTGATGCGTACTGTGAGGCGGCACTAGCACAAAAGCATTTATCAGCCCTGCTGGCCACCCAGATGGGTAAGAAAGATGGCTGGATTTTATTTTACAAGATGTGCTTTTCCTTTGAAGTTTAAGTAACATAGCATCCCGATTTCCCACTCTCCAATGAATGACTTGGAAAACTAGACCATCCCAAAGGCAGATTATCCGAGTGTCCAGGCCAGAGAACTGCAGTGGAAGTCTGGGTTTGACCTACAGTGACAACCAACATTCCAGGGGCTGTCCACGTTTTACCTCAACCATCAGAGTTGTGTGATGTTAGAACAGGCTCAAGGGCACTTCTGCCACTCCAGAGGCACGTGTCTAACTTAAGAGAATCATTCATTCCTGTCCTCTGCAGTCATGTTCTGTTCCTGCACATAATTAATGGTTTTGCAAGCAAGGGCACATGAAGAGTGTGGGTGGAATCCATTTATTGCACTTCTCCAGAACTATCGTGAAATAACTCTTCTGTCAATAATCTTTATTTTACATTTCTTCAGTAGCAACTCCAGGAAGAAACCAAAGTTGGTCAGGGGAGGCAGAGAACAAGTTGTACAGTTCTCAGCAAAATATAGCTAAAAATCAAAGCTAACAGGCTGAAGCAAAGTATTTCTACCTCAGCATATCACTGCATGGGTTAGAGGGGTTTTGAAATACTGCCTGCATTCTTGGGTTATTTAATCTTTATCAGGGTGCGAAAGTGAACAGCTTTTTATAAGGGCTTGAGCAGAGAGGCATGAAAACGCATTGTGTTCCTTGAATGGTGCTGGCTGTGTGCTAAAGACAGTGGGCAGGGGGAGAAAGCTGCTACCGTTGCTCAGCACTGAATTTCTTTCCTCCCCAGCTTCTGAAATGTGAAGACTGAATCTGCTTTCGTTGCTGCAGCAGTCACACCTCCTCCAATGAACCCAGGCTAAGCGTGGTGAGCAGCGTCTTCCTAAGGCTCGGAATCGGAGGAACTCTGCAGAATTTGGTAAATGTAACTATTACATTGTCTTGTCTGCTTAGAGCTTGTGTTTGAGTTCTTAAGAATTTGAGTGAAAGCTGGAGACTTGCACTTACTCTCCCCATCCCTCTAAAAGCTATTTTTGAGGATGGCTCCTGGAATCTGTTAAGTTATATTTATTCACTGAGTAATAATGTTAGTAGTGCCAATAGCAATAGGAAGCCCACAGTTAAGAGTTCTGAAATTATATAAAAATAGTTGGGTTACAGCAATAAATAACATCATTTGCACTTTTAAAAAAACAGAGTTCTGAATCAATTTGGTTTGGAATGCTAAACAAGGCAAAAGGCTTCTTCCAGCTGTGCCTGTGCTTCCCTCCTTGTATTCAGCGCTGTGTGTGTACCCTTAGGAGAAACTTGGCCTCGGCTACAGACGAGCGGGCAACTTCAGCCACGTACTCGGGAGGCTCAGCATCGTAACCTGCCGCAATAACCTAAGCCAGTCATGGTCCACGGTGCTCAAAGGGATGCAGGCCAGTGGGTATGCTTTTCAAAGGTTTAAATAACAATGTTCTGTGTCACTGTTATCAACAGTCAAAAGAACAGGTCAAGCACGGTCCAGAAGAAATAAACAAATACACGAATTATTAGATCCATTATCAACTGTGGCTCCTGAATTCGGGGAACTCCAAGGGTGTACTGTCAAACTGCTTTTCAGCTGTTTGCACGTCAGCTCCTTATATAATTGTTACAATGCGTAGGTATTCGAGCCATTCTCCTGTAAATTCTCAACGTGGAAATGTGAACTGCTTTTTATTTGCCTTCCCCATCTACTTACCATCTTCAGCAACTGGTATTTGCTGCATTAAAAAGAGTTTTACAGGGGAGAGAAGCAGAGTCCAACAGGACTGAGCTGGTAAAGCACTGCTCAGCCAATGCACTTGCTGAATTCCTTATTTTACTTAAAAATACAGAGAAATATACAAAAGTGGTGCATTAAATTAGTTTCATTTGCATAACGGACCTTCATGGATTTTGATTTCCAGCCACAGACCATACACACACTGACTGATAGAATGTTTTTGCCTTACACAACAACCCGCTGCCTTTCACTTCACAGGAGTTGAGAATGGATTTAACTCTAACCTTCGGTTTAAAAACACCCCGTATGCCTTCAGGAAAGGCCATTAGAAGGTAAACTAAGTTGACAGTAAAGCTATAGTAGGCTCCTTACTTTTAGTCAAAGGTTTACAAAACAACGCTTTTAGAAGGTGGATTACTCAGCAGTTTTGGGCAAGTTGTGTATTCACACCTGAACCCTGCCCGGCAGAATGCCGCAGTGCAGCCGTTCAGCACAGCTGCTGACCCGCCTCCAGGGAGCAGACATGAAAAGGAGATTTCCTAGCTTCTGCGAGTAAAGGTGGAGAAGTACACCGAGTCCTCGCTCTTCAGCTTGGTTAAAGTTGGCGAGACAAATACCGATTTGATGCACAACACTTGAAAACACACCTGATTTCTGCTATTTCCAAAAGTTTAATTTTGAAGAAGTGGTCATGAAGACAAATGATGCAGTAATTTCCTCTCCCCTCACCCCCTGGCATTTCCAGTGCTAGCAGAATTCCACACTGCCCAGCCAACTATCTACACTTACTCCATCCGAGTGAAGGGAAAGACTGAAGTTAAAGATTTTGGTTTCCAAGGCTGCTCGCTTGGACTATTTTAAACACAGCTTGGAAGCAGGGGCCTTCAGCAGCGCAGACTTGCTAGGTTTGAGTGCTCTCTTCAGAGCACAGTCAGCTTCTTATTTTCCAGTATTTTGAAAACATAGCTGAATGGGTGAGTCCTCACTGCAGCATTTAACAATACGCAATTATTTTTGTCAAAAACAAGGCTGACATTTCAGTGGCACTCTAGGTATATGTGCATTTAGCTGTACTAGTGATTTAAGAACAAACACACAAAACCCGCCAAACAACGTACCCTAATCACAGTGTTAAAGCGCCAAACTGCAGGATGTCTGTGCTCCAACAGCTGCAATTAACTGCTAATTTTATTTTCTTTTTTAAACTTTTATCTACACTGTGAAAAATCAGATTTCTCAAGAAAAGAAGAGAGAGAATGGCTAGTTTCAGGTAGTGCAGTAAGATTCAGTATAGCTCCTTTAATTTCTTTACACAGTAAACAGATTTCTATTTATACCAACACCCTGGTCTGTACTTTCATATTTACATGAAACACTTTAACATATATACATGTTAGCAAAATACAGGGCTTCTCCCAGAACCAAATGCCTGTCAGCTATCTCTTTGTTATACAACTAACGCTTTTTCAAAACAAAACAAACCAAGAAAGCCCACCTCACTTGTTTTCTTATGCACAATAATTCCATTTAGCCAAACACTAAAATGGTATTTATTGCCTTCCCAGCAGCACTGGCTCTAGTTACAGCATACCATTGGATCCAGACTGATACTTGCAGTTCACTCTGGCAGTAAAGGAAGGCGTTTCAAGAGTCCAGCTCTAATTGTTCTTGATTTTCACTGAGTCTTAACATAAGCTGTTGTTCGTAATAAAGACTCTTTGCATAGTTTATTTCTTGAGAGAGCTTTACTGCCAGAACTTCAGATTTCACTTTGACCTGCAAAAAGAAATGTGATTTTTCTTAATGTGGTACTGCTGTCATCTGAAGTGGAATATATTTAGTTTTTATTACTTCACTAACTGAAGGGATTAGGTTTGAAGTCTCCTGTAAGGAACAGAAATGTTTCAGTGGAGATTCCTCCTCAGTGCTGAGGCACGGAGAGGTGAGAGAGGGAAAGACAGATAAATAGAGATAGGTGTTTTAAGATGAGAGGAGAAATGTCTTGCAATATTTGAAGTTATTTCCTTTGCTTCACCTCCCACCTTTTATCTGGCTTGTCTGTTTGGAATGTAAACTGACTTGGGTCAGGGGTGAGCTTGTAACCTTGCCTGTAAAACAGACCCCTGAGCAACTACTGTAAGGAAGCAAAAAACCCTGTAATGGGTTTTAGAAGTGAGAGTTCTGATTAACTTCTACATGCATGACATAAACACTCTTAAAAAATTAGCTACTTTGCAGTAAAAAAATACTATGTGTAGGAAGAGAAGAGAAAACTAGAGTAAATAGACAGCAAAGTGCTTTAGTTTCATGTACGTGTTGTAAAGTTAAAAGCCTTCCTCGGGTAAACAGACACTTCCTACTGTAACCTTCCTGCCTGCAGGAATATTTTAGTTTGTCTTCAGCTTTTCTCAGGAGTTTAAGGAGCAAGTTCTACGGCCACCCAAACCTCTTCAGCAGCAGCTGTTTTCACTGCTGACAGGACGGAGCTCTCATCGTTAGGCAGCACAGGAGACCAAACGCTAATGACTACAAACAGGCAGAAAGGGGAAAAGAACCCCCCGCGTGACGGCAACAGTAGGGGCGAGATCCTTACCATTGGTTTTTGTTGCGAGGGGCCTGGCATTGCCACACCGCTACTTGTGTTAACAGCTTTCTTCGTCAGCTGGATATACACGTTCCCGTGGTCTTTTGAAACAAGGCAGTGGTAGAGATCATCATACTTGACTTCTAGGAAGATGGCCTCGCGGTCGATGTAATCACTGCTCTTTAGGAAATAAACAGCTTTAGATGAAATGAGAACACAAGAGCTGTCTAGGTTCTCCGCTGCTATAAAGCTGCAAAGAAGAAAAAAAAAAAGGAAAAATTACTCACTTGAAGCTAAAAATAGTAAACTAACAAATGTCTTCACCTGTTATGTTTTGAGTGACCTTTAGAAGTCTTTCAGAAGACTGAATAGCATCACATGTACGGTTCATCTGTATTTAATTTGAACTGTTCTAAGAATCAGGCTGATGAAGTACCCTCTCACCCAGTTAAAAAAGATCATGCTGTAAATCAAATCCTAGCACTAAACGCCTGGCTCCTAGCTTTGGACATTAAAAGGGCATATAAAAATATCCTGTAACGAGGCCTACGAAGAGTAGTTCCTTTGCACTGGAACACCGCAAGCCCTAATACCCCAGGTTAATTGTGAGTTGGGTTCCATTGCTGATATGGGAAAGGTTTGAGACATTTATGACAAGAGCATTGTCCTTCTACACATTGTAAACCCGCTGTGTTTCCTTTTACCACACACCTCCCTGGCCTTTGAAAACAAAAAACAAGTTTAACCTGCTGCCTGGATCAGTAGCTAGAAAAGAGAAATTAGCTGTTTAACACTGGGGTGAAAGGTTAAGCAGCAAGCAGGTTTCCCCAGAGAGATTACGCTGAGTGATGAATAGTAGAGGTAGAAAAGCGTGAGTCAGGAATATTGAGAATTATGATGGCTGAAAAGGTTGATGTGTAAAAAAATAACAGTAAGGAGTGCAAAAGTGAAACAGGTATTTCCCACACAAACGCTTCTCCCTCACTTCCAGTTCACTAACGAAACGAACCTTTTCAATAGTGAATCAATTTGAAAACACGAGGGTTTTAAAACACTGGAAAATTCAGAAAATTGAATATGAAATGGTAATTAAGGAGTGCTAAATAGAGCAATAAAGCTCCCAACAACCCTCAGCAGTAGAAGCGTAGCTGTAAAACTTAAGATTCATGTGCTGTCAGGTAGGTTCAGCGTCGCTCTTTTCTGTGTTGTACCAAGCTGTCTGCTGTTCTCCCAACGTGTTCTGCAAAATACACCACTGGCTTTGAAATCAGTGAAGACCTTCAGCATTAAGGGTTTCGGTAGATCAGAACAGCTCACCATCTCCAAAAGTACTGTTGGCTCGAACGTTCAGGTAACATTTTGCACAAACCACTCTGAGCTATATCCAGATAAACCCATGGCTACAAATGGAATTTTAATAGCCAAAAACATTTCAAGAGGTCAGATCACAGTTTCTTTTTGTGGTACAAAAGAATAATTCCAGTCATTAACTGTTAATAGTCCTCTGAAAGACGGTGTTCTGCACTGAACGGGTCTTTCCCTGCCCTCTGCCTCCTCGCCACGTCAGCTGACAGCTGCCCGTGCTGCCACCAGCTTGAGAAAGGCGCACGCGCTTACTCAACACTTACGTTTCCATCCGAGTGCTGGGAAGAGAGGAGCCATTTTAATATAAAAAGGCCTGTGATGTACTTCGCCCAGCTCTAACCTTGGATGAAACTACGGGATAGGATAACTGAATTGTGTTCCTTTAAGGAAACCAAAACAGACAAAAATGTGCGTTTCAGCTTAAAAAACCCCAGGTGAAGAACGCTGTTACCACAGTTACTGGAACCAGCAATTGCCCCTCGCTTTTCTGTCAGAGTTCAAACGCTTTGCGGTAAGGTCTTCTCTTTGAAATAAGTGAAGTGTGGCGGAGAGGGACATTTTTTATGAAGTGTCATAAAAACCTTAATTTTAAACTAGAGCAGCGTTATAGCCTGCAGAATAATAGTCTTATTCCTTAGGACAGGCACATAAAAGCACGTACAGTGTTTTACAGAGCTCCTAGCTTTGACTCGGGGCACACGGCCCCTGGCAGCAGAACCAGAGGAGACCTGCGGGCACACCAGCTGTCTTTGCTTCTTTTCCAGCGGGGAAAGACGACTAAAAGGTGACTGAGTATTGGAAACCCCTGATACTGTATGACTGTCCTTAGCAATTGTCACAGCAAAGTTGAGAAACTTGACAGGTTTTGTGTACCCACACAAGCAGAACAGCTGTTTTCCTGACGGATGGTATTCCAGCCCACTGGACGGGGGATGTCCGTGGAGGGAACTGAAGCAGCAAGAGCTACTATAAAGTTCAGTGGAAGCAACAGGGTAATGAGACAAAGGGTTTGTATTTTCTCTGTAAGAACAACAGGTTATATATTGAATTTTCCATGCAGCATTGTACTGGTGTCATGTATGCATTTTGAGGAATGGAAATGGAGGACAGTGATTTAATGGTGAAGCACAGAAACATTAGCTAATTTGTACTTCAAGCTCTACATTTTGTTCTAAGTTTGAGTCATGCATCATTACCCATTTTCTCCTGCCAACTGTTACTTTCTTCTCTGTGTCTAGTTCTCCAAATGGGCATTTAACCTCTTAAGATACTAGTTTAAGGGGTTTTTTTTAAACCCATACTTCTACACTTATTAAAAAGATCTCAAATTAATAAAAAGAAAAATTAAATGAAACATGATTCAATAGAACAAAGTAGAAGCAACCAGATCTCTGGAGAATTTGTGGGCTTTTTAACAACATCAGGAAGTAATTACACAATATTTTCCAGAAGTGAAACAGTGAGCCTAACTGGAAAAAAATGTGGAAACATTTAGTTAGAACAGTAGAGCAAGGTATTAAACCCCCTTTTATGGATTTAACTCTGAAGGAAAATATGCAAATAATCAGGTCTTTAAATGTGTTTCTGATTATGATACTGGGATAAAAGTCAGAGGCATAATTTTGTACTTATTTTCCACGACAAGAAACACTGTTTTCTTGTTGAATGATGTTCCTAGTGGTGAAAGTCACAGTGAATGAACAGCGTGCCTTGATGACAAAAGCCCACTGATCTGCTTTTGGGGTACACTTGCAAAAAGCTGACCGGTTTGTTTGGTCACAACTTGCTGTCTTTCACCTCTCCCTACCTAAGAGCCAGCCTGCGTGTGCATAAAGATCATTAAACGAGATGAAAACAGGGTAACGAGTGCGTAAGATCACAGGGCTGCAAGCAGGCAAGTGGCAGATCTCAACCTCTTCCTCGCAGGCAGCTGAAGGCAGAACCTAGAGCGGTACAGGGCTTTCAGAGCCTGACCACGACACGGGAAATAAAACTGTCCAAAAAAAGGTTCCTCCCTCTACGAGCTTCACCATCAGCAATTTTAACTGCTTTGCCCTGGAGATACTCTGATGGTGACAGATGCAAAACAGCATCTTCACTGTCCTCTGAAAACAGCTGTTCAGGTAACTCTGGTAGAGACTGGGCTAATAATGAATTATGTCTTAAGACCCCAATCCAACAAACCGACATCTGGAAAAGACCTGTAAGATCATCAAGTCCAACCGTTAACCCAGCACCGCCAAGCCCACCACTAAACCACGCCCCTACGCACCACATCCACACGTCTCTTGAACACCTCCAGGGACGGTGACTCCACCACTTCCCTGGGCAGCCTGTTCCAGGCCTTGTACGTGTGAATGTTCAGAGGAAGCAGAGTACAGGCTTAAACCCTGCACTCGTGTTACCAGCGCATGTGGAGGGCTGGACACGTATGATGCATGTTAAATGGACAAACGATTACTGAGGAAACTTCCTAGGATTTCATCTTCTGTACGACAGAAGGGGACCAGGGACTTTAACGGGAGCAGGAGTCAACAAAGCAGGGCTCCGATTCTTCCACAGCCTGCGTGGGGTGTGCGCTCAACGGCAGCTGGCAACAGGTGAACCAAAGGAGCCCCGTGGCACCTGCAGTGACGGTTGCGCGCAGCCATCAGGTGCTCGTGCTGTGCTGGTCGGCACCGAGGGAAAGCAAAGGAAATGTGTGCGTGTGCGCGCACGGCTGTGTGTAAAACACTTTCAGTCCCTCTTCTCCAAAGACCTGAAGATGCGATGGCAGCAAACAGAATGACTTACAGTAACCGTGCGAGTCAGTACTTACAACTCATCCTGGATGTTGTCAGTCAGTTTGAACAGCTGTTCTTGTCCTTCTGCTTGACTTTCTAAATAGCGGGGCAAGAGCCCTTGAGGTCCTCTACAGCAGCGTGGCTTCCTCACTCGCTCCGCTTGCGTCCTGCATGCAAAATAGATGCAGAAAAATGACTTAGTGCAACAGCTGTGCTTTCCCTTCCACTTAAACCTGTCAGCACACAAAGTTTTATTTATTTTGAAATACGAGGTGTGACAGAGCCTCTAAAAATACAAGCTCTTCACAATATACGTTCTGTAATACGTGATCTGGAAGACATGGTGTCTGTTCATATGGTTTTACATTTCAAAGAAATGTCTCTCAGTTTTCTTCTACAATTAAGGGGCTGTGTGCTAAAGTAACAGGAAGAAGCAACCTAAACCGAGTATACTGTCTGCAGATCTGGGCATCTGTTTATCAGCAGAGTTTTACTCATCTGACTGTTTCTTCTCACTTCCCTACAGAAAATAAGGAGTGCATCAACCTAGATAGAGCTCACACTGATGGACAGTGCCAGTAGTTTGAAAACTGAAGGGTTACTGAAATAGGAACATGCAGTTAAGGCAAAAATCCACAGTTCATTAGAGTCGCTGTAGTGGGGTTTAGCACATTTGCCTTTTGAGTGTCTATTAAAAAGTGACAAGAATAAAAGAAGACACGCGCGTGTCACCCAACAGACATCAGAGGTTGATACTGGCCACAGTGCCAAAGCACGGCAGGCTAGGTTCCTCCCTTCGCAGTATTTTGTTTAAAAATAATATTCTGAATTCCTTTAAGCTTTTGGAACGCCCTACCCCTGAAGAACTGTGTTCCAGGCTGCCTGCCCCTGCGCTACTCTGTCCTTTCCCAACAGCATCACTCTGGGGCTGCTGCAGGCTTTTTCATCTCTCTCCGGCTACTGCTGTTACTAATTTTCCAAGCCAAAAGCACCATTTTTGATTAGTGCTTTCTACTTCCCCTCTTGATTCTTTGCAAAGATCCTGTACAATGAGCTGCTGCTAGCCTTTTTGATCAAAAGGTAGGGGAAAAAATCCCATATAACAACGCATTTTCTTTTTAAGCTGCTTGGCAATAGCACACAAGAGTACTTGCCTTCTAAGCCTTGCGTTCTGCAGATGTTTTCTCTGGAGCCTTGTCTCTCTGTTACCTTTCCCTTTCAGCAGTTCTGTCTCAGACTTGAAACCCTTTTAAGATTTGTTTTCCTTCGAGTCTTTGACACCCTTGCCTCTTAATGGTGACAGACGTTTGGGTTTTGCCCCTTCCTTTCTTGGCAGTAAATGTAACTGGAACAATCTCTTACTTGTCTTTCATGACTTAATACCATCTTCGCTGCTCTCCCATTGGGTGACTGGCCTCGGTGTGTTTTGGCTATCGTTGCTCTGTCTGGTATCAACAATGTATTTTGCAAACAGAGTACAGAAGCCAAAGATACTGGCTTTCCAGCACAGCAGAGAAAAACATCAGCCAATTTATGTTTTTAATACATCATGACTATCTGGTAAAGTTCTGGTTTTGTTAATGAGATTATTACAACCCTGACCTGCGTAACAAATTACAGTGGCTCAGAAGTAGTGCTTATCGCTCATCCTCTTTGAGAGAAACTTCAGGAGAGACAAAAAGCTCTTGACTTCACTTCAGCTGAACTACGGTTATGCTAAGATGGAAAGTCAGTTTGTCAGCAGGGAGGATGAAATGAAAAGTGGAAGTTCTCCAACTAAAAGAATGCGAAACAGAGCAAGGGCTTAAGAAACCATAACAAATGTTGTCATTAGTAGTGCCAGTAAAATGTTACCAGTCCAATGTTCAGTTTTACCTCTGCTGACGGATGTTCTCACTGCTTTACCTGTCCTGCTGCACTGCTTTCACATTTGGTTACTCGTTCATTAGTTAATTACAGTGGTACGTGTCCAAGCTAAAAACCACCAGTATGAAAATTGCAATTTGCTGCATAAAGGTGCTTAGTTATCCTCATTCACAAAAAGTGCAATGTCTTAAAACCGCTTTCTTCCGTTAGTAGCATTTGTCTGTATATCAGAATAACCTAAACGCTAGGTAAACAGATGACTTCCACAACCTACGTGTGACTAAAAATTACTCCACTGAGTAACAGCTGCACGCAGTGGTTCGAACGTCACTGTTAAGTGCTGCGACTCTGGAGCAAGTCACCTCTCCTGCCCCTTCCATTTTCTAGATACAAACAGGATTCTCCTGTACCAGCTACAGTTACATGACAGCACTGTTACCTTTCTGAGCCGACACTGGAGGTGAACACAGAAGTGCCTGGGTTTACCTATTAGATTCTTACCAAGTAGTAAACAAAAGTACACGTTTGCATCCATGAAATGCAAAACACTGAGGCAAAGTTCTAAGGAAATTAAAGGGTTCCAACCAGTGTAATTCACATCTTGCTGCTTGTCCTACTTCCTAACCTCCAAAAACAGTAAAATGGCAAAACTTCACTTATCCAGGAAGCCCCCGTTGGCTGTTAAACCTCCTTACGGCATCTGTAGCCTCTGTTGACAAGTACAGAGAGAAAATGTCTGAAGCATAATGCGGTTTTTAATTAACTATTGGCCAATCAATAACTTTTTATTTAGACACTTTTCCTGTTATGTATTTATGTCCATACAGGAGTGAGCAACACCACCACATAATGGATTTTATATTAACCATCTTTGAGATAAACATTCAACTGTGCTATTTTCTCCAATGTCCTGCAGTACCACGAGAAGAGGTGTCTAAAGGACTGCAAGCGAGACTACTGTAAAGAGGAGGAAAGAGTAAGGCCTTTTAATCCGACCTGTTCCGTAGAAAGCAGAACATCAGAGAACTCTGGCTTCTAATGTCTGGCCTAGAAGCAGGTCGGAGAGAAAGACTAGTACTACAAAAGTACCAGGCACTACCACGAATTTCTGGAAGGCCGGGCAGTTTCCGAATTGCGGGTTTGGTTGTGGTTGTTTGTAGGTCTTGGTTTTGTTTTTCAAATGGAAGTGGTACTTAAGAGTACAGTGCTTACCGTCCCCACTGATGATAAAGGGTAATTCTCATCTTGGTGGCAGGAAGGTCAGCTGCTTTTCAACAAAGTGCCACTAGTGCTAGCGTAAATTGCATTGATTTAGTCCATCAGCCCCTTGGCAAACTGGTCTGTTTGGTCTGGACAGCTAAAAACATTCCACACGACTTGATTTTTTTTAATCTAAAAATTTGTTCTACTGTCTCAAGTTACGTTCTGTAAATAATAAGCAACACTGATGAAATACAAAAAGCTGAAGATTTGTAAAGCAGAATGAACGGTGGTGTGCCCACATCTGTGTTACATTAAACATGCACTCAACAGATCTGCTGATTCTTTTTTAATAAGCACACAAAGGCAATACAAGACAGAAATGCCCTCACGTCTACTAGTCACAGCAGGGAAGAGTGCTGCTGAATGAAGACACAAAGAGATTGGAAATGGTGTCAGAAGGTTGAGGCACACACTCCAGTTCCTCACTGTTCAGACAAAGCTGAACGCTGGAGAATCTCACTTCAGATGACTGTATGCACATTAAAAGCAGTTAACAGTGTTAATTGGTTGGCTTTTGCTTAACAGTTCACAGAATTCTTGTGATTCAGTTGACCAGTTTTAAGCCAGAAGTTTTGTAATCAAACCAATCACTGACCCACTGATGGAAGGAGGTTGTTCAGGTATTACTGGAGATAATTATTTACCAACTGAAACTGAAAAAAATCCCATTTTACAGAATCGCCTATCCTTGTTCCTTCACTACACGTTCACCCCATCAGGTTTACGCTGTCAGGGACGTAGCTGTGATTCTTGCTGACGTGCATAAATACACGGTGTTCTTGAGAACAGTAACTGTTACTGCTCTTTGAGTGTCTTTTGGACCTAAAAAATTTCCTTGAAGTGCACCTAGATTGTTTTGACAGAAACATTTAAAAAATAAAAGTCAGAGAGTATCAAACTTGGCATCAACAGATGATAGTCCGTGAAAACAAAACATTGCGCTTCTAAAATTATACACAAATGTACGTCTTTCAGTTTTCTCAGTATCACACCCAGAATAATTACTCAGAATAAAACAACTTCAGGAAATTTAGCAACTTCTCCTGAGAGAAAAAAAGCAACAAGGAAAAACCCTATGACCCACAGAGTAACCACCACAACTTTTCATTTAAAATGTGTATCTGTGGAATTTCTGAGCTGTCCTCTTGGTAAGAGAGCAGCACTGGCAACTACAAAGCTGTCCAAAAAGCCCAACTTGAGCATATACAGATTTTGATCCATGATTTTGATCCATAATCGGAAAAAAGGACACCCCAAATCCCGCACAAACAACAGCGCTAAGTGCAAGGAGATTCAGTTCTGGCATCTGAAACCGGCATGTCACGGAGGAGGCTCTTCCCAGAGACTTCACCTGCTGCACTGCCCGCCTGTCACCAAACCCTTAGTCCAGGCCAGCGGCCCAGCACTGGTGTGCAGCTCAGCCGTGGAAGCCCTCCAGAGAGGGCCAGTCTCTGGCCACGGGGCCCTCCCCCAATTCTCCCATAATGATTTTCTTCTGCTCTTGCTGCCAGAACTTCCAGTAACTGTCCTCAACGTGTGGCATTCATAAAGGTGTTCCAGTTTAACAACCTCATGATTCCAACCCATATAAAGCAGTAACTTACTGGTTCTGGTATAGCTCAAATTCTGTCAGTGTTTCCATTGTAAACTTGTTTTTTCAGGTTTGCATAAAATTTATTGATAAAAGCCTGCTCTGGGCTGTAACTTGGCATACTGACTTTTAGCCTGTGAACAATTTTTATCCCCTTGAAATAATTATAAAACAACCTTAGTTCAAACAAAGGAAAATTGGCAGGTAATATAAGCCTATGAAACAATTCAATCGCTGCTAGTATTTTGAAGAAATAATATCAAACCTGTTACTTGGCTCTGGAAAAAGTCTGCTTCGGAAACACAGGGAGTGCTTTGTCTAAGGAGGCTTTAGTGCATTTCAGACATTAAGAAGTGACTCAGTCTGATAAGTTACAGGAGGAATAGCCTTACATCTTCTAGCATGAAATACGCAGCAACTAAAATACCTGCTACAGTTGCTGGAGTC